TTATTCTTATTCTTATCTTATAATAATTATTGTTCTTATAATAATTATTGTTCTTATTCTTATTCTTATTCTTATTCTTATTCTTATAATAATTATTATTTTTATTCTTATTCTTATTCTTATTCTTATTCTTATTCTTATTCTTATTCTTATTCTTATTCTTATAATAATTATTGTTCTTATAATAATTATTGTTCTTATAATAATTATTGTTCTTATTCTTATTCTTATTCTTATTCTTATTCTTATAATAATTATTATTTTTATTCTTATTCTTATACTTATTCTTATAATAATTATTATTTTTATTCTTATTCTTATTCTTATAATAATTATTGTTCTTATAATAATTATTGTTCTTATTCTTATTCTTATTCTTATTCTTATTCTTATAATAATTATTATTTTTATTCTTATTCTTATTCTTATTCTTATTCTTATAATAATTATTGTTCTTATAATAATTATTGTTCTTATAATAATTATTGTTCTTATTATTATTCTTATACTTATAAAAATTATTAAACGTATATTAATTATTATTATTATAATAATTATTATTATTATAATAATATTTATTATTTTTATAATTATTATTATTTTTATAATTATTATTTTTATTGTTATTTTAATATATGTTATTCTTATTTTATTATTTTTTATTATTCTCTTACATATTCTTGTTTATTTTTTTATTTTTATTTTTTCTCTTTCTTGTTCTTATCCTTATTCATTATCTCTTTCTTCTTCTTATTCTTCTTCTTTTTATTATTATTATTATTATTATTATTATTATTATTATTACTATTATTATTTTTATTTGTTTTATATTTCTTTATTATAATTTAATTATTTTTATTCTAAATTTTATGAATTTATACTAATCTATTTCTTTTTTTCTTTTTAATCATTTATTTTTACTCCTCTTATTTACATATTTCCTACAATTTTTATTATTTTATTTCATTTTTCTATTAATTTATTTAACTATTATCTATTTTATTAAGTTTTTCTTATTATTTACTTATTTAATTTTTTTATATATTTTATTATTATTTTGATTCTTTTTCATATTTTAATTCTTCTTATAACGTCTTAATTTTTTATTGTTATTAATTTTATTCTTAATTTATCATATTCTAATTTTTTTTAATTTATATTATTTCATTTTTATTATCATTTGGATATTTTTCATTTATTTTTTATTTATTATTTTATTCATTTTCTTCGCTTAGTTATTCTTTTAAATTGTTTGTTTCTTTTTTTTAATTAATTTCAATTCATATTGTATTTCTTCTATTTATAATTTAAAGTCATTATTAGAGTTTTTTTTTTAATTTATTTTATCTTCTTATTTAGTTTAAACTTTATTTTCTTATTTGGGTTAAATTATATTAATTTCATATTGATTTTATTCTAATTAATATTACTAATTTTAGCATTTATTTTATTGATTACTTTAGCCTATAAGATTCTATTTTTTAGTGTTTGTTAATTATATTTCTAAATTATCCTGATTGTATATTTTTAAATATGGTTATCCTGTATTTATATCATATTTATTATTTTATTTAATCTATTTTTATTTTTTATTTTCTTCAATTTATTATTATTAAGTATTTAAAGGCAAATATTTATTTTAATTATTAATTTATTCTTTACTTAAACTTTTATTTGAATAATTTTCAAAGTTGGTTTCATTGTTTTCTCCTTCTTTTATATTCTATTAAGGTAAATTAATGCTTTAAATAATTTAAATTTCTTATTTTTATTTTTTCTCATTATTTTTTAAATGTTTTTCTTTAAATTTTTATTTTTCAACTGTTTATTATGAATTAGTATTTTTATTTTATTTGTTTATTAGTTCGATTTCTTTTATTTCTTCTGTTTTAACTTGATTACTTTAATTTATCAAAAAATTTTAGTCATTTTTATTTAATTCTTAATTATTTTTTTAATATTTCATTTCTTTTTTTAAGCTGTATTATCAATAATTTTTATTTGAATTTCTTGTATATCTTTTTTAGAATTTTATTCTTATTTTTAGAGGCTTTATACATTTTATTCTTAATTTATATTATTTAAACTACCTTGCTTTTAAATTATTTTATTATCAATATTATTTTAAATAGAATAAGATTTGCATTTTTATTCTAATAATATTTGAGGATTTGATAAATTTTATTAAATATTTATTTCTTAATATTTGTTTTTATTAATTTTTTAGTTTTAAATAGTTTGTTTTTTTAATTAATTTATAAACGATTTTAATCATTAATAGCTATTACTTCTATATTTTTATTAATATTATTATTTTCTTATTTATTATCGTTTTATTCATATTCATTATTTAATTTATATAAATCTTTTTTTTACTACAATAAATTATTTATTTTTTATTATAAATTTTAAGTTACTCTTTGACCTGTATTTTAATCAACGTCTTTATTTTAATAAACATAATTTAAATTTATTGAATTTTTATTATTTTATTATTTTAAATCATTTGATTTTTATTGTGTTCCTTAATTATTTATTTATTGATTATTATTTTATTTTTCTAGTTTTTAATTAATAATGTTTTCATTTTTAATTGATTAGTTTTTTTCCTAATTTCTTAAATTAAATGAGTTAGCTCTGGGTTTATTTTTTTTAAAATAAATTGTCTAAAGATTAATTATTTAAAATATCTTTTATTTATATATATTAGCATCAATACTATTATCTTGATAAATATTATCCATTTATTTTTAATTTTAATTCATATTAAATTGACTTAAATTTTCTATTTATTTATATTAAATTCTTCTAAATATAATTTATTCAATTAAACTTAATTTTTTATTTATTTATTATTATTTATTTGAACAAGAAATTTATTTTCAAATAGTATTTTATTTTATTCTCAAATATCTTTTGTATAAATATTTTAATTTTACTATGAATTATTATAAATATTTGTTTAGTTTTCTTAGATTTCTTAATTCTTATCTTTTTAATTAAACTACTCATCTAAAATTTCTTAGTTTTATGTTCTATTTTGCATTTTTAATTTTTAGTTTTAACTATTATTATACATTTAAGTGAATAAACTATGATTTAATTTATTATTTGGTTAAAATTAAAGTTAATATTTTAATTATTATTCATTTTTCTAATAATTTTAAGTATCACTTTTTAAATTTTTTTATTTTTCAAATTAATTATTTATGTTTTTTTATACGCTTTTAAAATATTATTAATTATTTTTAAAATTTTATAGCAATTCTTACACATGTATCTGTTTAGAAGCTATTTCGTCTTTTAAATTTTAATTTTATAAAAAATTATTTAATTATAATTAATAATTTGTTTTATTTTCAGGAATTTATTAATTTTACTCTTCTTAATTCAATTAAATTTATTATTGATTATTATTATTATTATTCTTATCTTCTATATTAAATTAAAAACTACAAAATCTTTAACTTTTAAATTATTTATTTTGTTATAAAGTCTATATTTATTCTAAGTTTTCTGTTTATTACTTCTTATCCATTTAATGATTATTTTCCTATGTAGTAATTATATATGGTTTATTTTAAAAATCTAATTTAGTTTTATTAAAAAAACTTTAATCACTACAGAGCTATTTATCAGGATTAAGATTGCTATTATTTAATTAATCTTATTAAAATTAGAAATTTAAATTATTGTTTTATATTTATTTATTCTCATCATATTATTTTTATCGTTTCCTTTCTTAAATTTAAAAGTAATTTGGAGAATTTATAGCATAAGAGGTATTTTTTTCGAAAAAACTATGCTTTTCTTAGACTAAATTATGTTTATCTTAATTCTATTATGTACTAAAGGTATTTAAATGAGGATGAAAATAGTTTTTTTATTTTAAAATGGCATTTTTTATTTATTTTATTACATTAAATATTATATTTGTTAACTTTGAGCTGTTAGGAGTTAATTTAAAACATAATTTTGATTTCTAAAAAACTCTATTTATTAATTAGAATAATACATTTTTTATTTTTGGTTTGAGTTTTCTCTAAAATTGTTTTGATTGTTTTTTTAAGAGGAATTTTACTTATTTTATACTTCATAAATATTTTCGGAAAAATATTATTTCGAAAAGCTTTAAATTTAAGGATTTTCTTAAACTTAATTTTATGTTTAAAAATTTGATTTATTTAAAATGTTTTCTTATTAAATTTTTTCTTCATCCGTTTAAGTAGATTTAAAAGCATTTTTTTATAATTTTTTACAATATATTTCCTTCAATTATTATTTTAATTAAACTCTAAATCCCTCAAATGTATTATTTTGTTCTGTTTTTATTTTCTCTATATGATTTTATTCAGTATCCTCAATATTATATTATTATTATTATTCATTTTCTGTTTAAAATTTTAGGTCATATTATATTTGATTTTTTTATTCGTTCAAAAGGAGAAATTCAATGTCTAATTTTTATTGTTATTCGTTTAATTTAGTAATGTTTTTATCAAATACTGATTCTTTCTTTTTTTCTTCTTCTTTTAATTCGAAAATTAATGGTTTTTTAATAACTTTTTAATTCAAAACCTCTAATTTTAAATTAAGTAATGATTAATTTGTATTGTTTCGTTCAATTTGGAGCTTTTAGAATTCTTATTTGATTTCTTTATCAAGATTTAATGATTTTTAAGAAGAAGGAGATTATTAAAGAGAAGCATTTGTTTATTTATAATCACTTTTATCTATAGAATATAGTTATTTTTTATCAAAAATAGAGTTAACTGTAGTTTTAGATTTTATTTTTTTAGTTTTTTTTACTTTTACTTCTTCTTAACTTGAAGAAGATTCACTTTTTGATGATTTTTATTCATTTTTTTATATTTTAATAAACTTTTAATTATTTTTTTAATCAAAGTTTTATTTTTATTAATTGAAAGTTCCATTTTTTGATATAAAAACATTTAAAATATCTTAACTTTTTAGTTTTTTTGATGTGAATTTGATTAAAAATTTTCAGTTTAATTTTTGATGTTTTTCTATTGATATAATGATTAATTTTAGTTTTTATTTTCAAAAAATAAGTCTCTTTAGGAAAAAATAATTCTTTTAAATAAGCTTATTTATAGTTTTAGTCTATATGTGAGTTTTCTTAAACTGATTATATTTTTGAATTATTTTAATTTTAAAATTGTGAAATTTTAGCATCTAATCCTTTAAAAAAAGATTAATCGAAATCTAAAATAGGTATTTCTTCTGAAAAATAAGGCTATGAAAAAGAAGTTTAGTGAGAATTTTAGAAAGATCTTTTCTTATTCTTTAAAAATTCAATTTTTCTTTTATTTTCTTGCTCATATTTTTATTTTGTTTCTAGTAATTATTTTTATAAATCCACAATTTAATATTAATATTCTTTTATATTTTTATTAGAAGATGAATTATTGTTTTTTAGTTGAGAATTAGAATTTTAAAATGAAGAAATTCTATTTTTTGGAGTTTCTTAAGAATACTTTATATTGTTTTCTTATCTGTTTATTATTTCTAAAATTTCATATAATGCTGTTATATAAAATTCTTTATTATTTTCTTTTTATAATTATTCGATAAATTTTTACTCTCCACCAAATTTTTTGTAAATGATTTCTTTTATATTTTCGTTCTTTTTTATTGTTTGGATTAAATATTATTCTTATTCTTTATATATATGTCCGATTTTTTTTGTACTTTCTTATGTATTTTTTGATGGAAGTGAGCTATATAGTGTTTTTATTTATTAATTTTTTATTGATTCGTTTGTATTAATGCTATTCTATTTTTATTTATATTTATATTTTATTTTTTTATTAACTTATTTATTATATATACTATTATGATATTTATATCTGTCTTCATTTATTCAATTTAATTATATATTGTATTGAATTATGTATGTTAACTTAAATTTTTACATGTTTGCTAGTTTTAATTGAAATTATTTTCTCTAAATATTTTTTGAATTAAATCATTATTTTTAATTCGATTTGTTTCCTCTGTCTATTTTTTTTGTTTGTTTTATTTTATGGAATTTCATTAATTAATATTTATTTTTTATTTCTTATAATAAACCTTTTTGATTGAGGAGAAATACATGTTTATAGTTTTTTTAAGGTTTTATTAATATATAGTTATATATAATTTTATTTATATATTATTTAAAAAAAATGTTAATATTATATACTAATTAAATAAATTATTTATAAAATTTATATATAATACATTTTTTATTTGAAAATTTAAAATATTCGAAAATTAATGACAATCATATATTCATTTAATAAACAATAACAACAAAAAATATTTATTATAATAAAAATATAGAAATAATTATAATTTATTTTATACGCAAAAATGTATTTTTTTTGATTAAAAGATAAATTTTATTTACTAAAAATCATTATATTTATTTCTTTTTTTTTTTTTTTAATAAAAAAATGAAAATAACTGTGTTTCTATATAATAAATTAAATTTAATAATTATTTTAAATTGCGTTTTATTTAGAAATAAATAATATATATTTTTTTTATCTTTATATTATTATTTAAAAATAAAAAAAATGGCAACCAGGGTGGGACTCGAACCCACAACCTTCAGATTAGAAGTCTGCTGCGCTACCATTGCGCCACCCGGCTGAATACATTATAAAATAGTATAATATAATTTAAGCATTTAATAATTAACAAATGTAATTCTATGAATCAATTATTAAATACTTAATATTTTTCTTTTAAATATAAAATAAATATATATATATATATATATTATAAAAATATCATATATATAATTTAATTATTTCTGTATAAAGAAAAAAAAAAAAATTAAATAAATATTATTATATTTTTAATAATCGAATTCAACAAAATTAATATATATATAAATAAAAAATACTTATATAATAAATAAAAATTATAATTATTATTATAAATTAAAACATTAACAATATTGTATAATTTTTATTTTTATAAAAAAGTAGAAATATCTAATACAATAAATCTTAATATAACATATATTAATATAAATATTTAAATTAAATTCTTATACTTAATGTAAAAGGAAATAATAAAATCAATAAAAAAATTAAAATTAAATTTCAAATTTGAATAATTAATTGTATATTCGTTTTGAATTTATTTAAATAACTTATTAGTTTGAGTAAAATATTAAAAAAAATTATAATAAATTTAAAATAAAATGGCTACTAATATTTCAAATTATTTTTCAGTATTATTAATTACAAGTTTTGGAAGAGAGAGTTTTATATTTTATATAATATACAGTATAATTATAATGAAAATGTGCTATAAATTGAAATATAAAATTACATTAATAGTTATGAAAATAAAATATGCCATAAAACACAAAATTTAGGTAATTTTTTTTTTTTTTAATTTATTCTTGTATATAATTTTTTTGATTTATTTATTTATTATATAATCTTAAATAAAAATATTATATATTATATTTTTTTAATGATATTAATATTAAAAAAAGAAAAATTTATTATATTCATTATATAAATATAAAATATTATAATAATTAATTTAAATAAATATAAATAATAATTAATAGTATATATAAATAATTTAAATTATATATACAAAAATTTTAATATTTTTTAACATTATTTATATGCAAAATTAAAAAAAATATATATTTTTTTAATTCTTTATATTCATAATTGTAGTTTTTAATATATTTCTTTGGATACATCAAGTGAAGTCTATTCTGCATTTACATAAATAATCTTTCCTTATTATTAATAATATTCAATTATAAGTTTTGTTGACTCTTCGTAAGTTTTTAATCTTTTTTTTAATGAATCAATATTGTCATCACTTCTCCCTGAGTTTTCTGATCTTTTTAAAATTCTTTAAATCATGGTTTCTTCATTACAATCTAAAAATAAAACACATTAGAATTCGGTTATATTACCCATTTTTAAATTCCATTTTTCTAAATTCTCAAAATTTCTTGGGAAACCATCAATAAGGAATTATTTGCTCTTTTTATTTTTTTTTGTTTATTTTTTGTTTATTCTTTTTGATTTTTATTTACCCATCCGTTTTTTTCCATTGCTAATTTTAGTAAAGCCACTGTGATTTCACTCTTTTTTTAATTTTATTTTAATTTTTTAATTTCTTATTATATATTTTTACAGGAACTATTTTTCCTTCTTTTATATAACTTTCAATTAATTCACCTTATTAACTATTTGGATTTTACCTCTTTTTTGTTGTTGTTGTTTTTTTAATTTATATGTATTAAAGTATGTTTTGAAAATAAAAAAACCTCTTCTCTTAACAAATCTCCAGCTGATAGATGTATATATCCTTTATCTTAAACTAATTTTGCACATTAGGTTCCTTTTCCTGCACCTGGTCCTATTTCCATAATATAAATTTTGTATTAATAAATTTAAAAAAAGAAGTTTTTTTGCCTCCTAAAATAAATATAATTTTTGGTTTTTAATTTTCAGTCATTTTTTTATTTTTATTGTTTTTATAAAAATAAAATAAAAAATATTTAATATATATCTTTTTATTGTATATGTATGTTTTAAATTGTATAAGGGTATTTTTAATCATGAAAATTGTAAGTAAGGGATTAAAATTAATATTTTGTTATTAATCTATTTATTAATTTATTTATCTTTATTAATAATTATTATATACTATATAGTTATTTTTTTATTATAATTATTATTTGTTATATATAAATAAATTTTGAAATTATCATATATTTATAATTTTTTTGTTTTGTTTTTTAATTATGTTATTAATTTTTAGTATTTTTATTTTATATTTATGAAATAATTTTTTGTTGAAATCAATTTAATTTTAAAATAGTAATAACTTGAAATTTAGGATTATTTTTCTATATTAAATTATGGATATTTTTTATTTATTTTGATATCAACAAAAACCACAAAGTATAAAAATATAATTTTACATTTTTTAAAAATAATTTAATAAATTTAAATTTTTTTCATTAATGTTTAATATTAATATATATATATATATATATTTTAATAAATAAACAATTTCTTTTTATTTTATAAAAAATTTTATAATTAAGTTATAATTATTTTATATATATTGATAACATTAATTTAATTCTCAAATAAATAAAATCTAAAAATTTAATAAATAATATATTAATTATGTTATTATATTTTACATATTTCTTTTTTTTTTTAAATTTCAAAAAATTTGTTAAACAAATAAAAAGTATCAAAGATAAAAAGTATATATTTGAATAATTTGCTAATAAAATAATAAAATATAGCAAAAGAATACAAACAAAAAAAGATTGATAATCATTTTTAAGCAAAAAAATAAAATGTACATAATTATGGAAAACGATAAAATAAAATAATTCATAAGTATATTAAGAGTATTAAATAAAAATAAAGAAACAGCGTAATTTTTACTAAATATAAATCATGGTTTATTAATAATGCAAAATCCAGAATATTTACATAATCATGATAGTAAATAAAACATATTATTTGTCCATTTTTGTATAGATTATTTTTATTTCTAAAGCCTAAATTAAGATATATCTTTTATGTTAGATTTGAGTAATTTAGTATTATCTTTAAGGGGTATTAGAAATGAAATATAGAAAATAATAATAAGAATTTTAGATTTAAAAAAATTCGAAATGGAGATATTATTTGAAGAATAATACAGTTTTTTTTTTAGTAAAAGATAATTGGTAATAAATAAGTAAAATAGGAATTATATTTTAAGAAAATAGAAAAATTAAAAAAATAAGGAGATATTTAAATAAACCTTTAAATTTATTAAGCAAAGAATATTTTTTTTCTTTTAAAAATACACCAGTTTAGGTATAGTTTTTCCCTGAATTTGTTCTTTTTAGTCCTTCATTACATCCTAAAGAAAACATAATGAAGATTCTACATTATTTATCTTAAGATATTCATTATAAAATGTTTTCACATAAAAATACTGTATTTTTACCTTCTGGTTATATTTATTTTATATATATTTTGAGCCTTGTACTTTAGTAAAAAATTGCATTTTAAATACGTAATAAAAAAAATTTGGAAGGAGAAAAAGTTATTATTTTCATGAAAGTTATTACTAAAAATGTTTAAATTATATAATCATATTCAAGCCTTTTTTTAAAGGCGAATTTAAATCAATAAGTGTAAGCTCTTTAAGGATTTTTCGAAAAAAGTGATGTAGTTTAGAGCTTCAGTGAACAATAGGAATTATTATCAATAAAAGAAAAAATTTAAAGTTAAAAATTAAATACTGACTTATTAAAAAAAATCGAAGAATATAAAAATCAAAAAAATGATTTTTTAGATAAGTAAAAATATAATGATTAAATAAAATAATAAAATGATTAAATATAATAATAAATTGATTAAATATAATAATAAAATGATTAAATATAATAATAAAATGATTAAATATAAATATAATAATAAAATGATTAAATATAATAATAATAACAATAACAATAATAATAATAATAATAATAATAATAATAATATTAATAATAATAATAATAATAATAATAATTATAATATAAAAATGAATAAATTTAATCATTAAATGAAAAAAATGAAAAAAATTAATAAATTTAACAATTTAATGAAGAAGAAGCGAAAAAAGGATATGACAAAAAGAAAAATATTTATTAGTAAAAAAAAGGATTTTAAGAGTAAAAAAGAAAATTTCTTGCTGGAAAAAAAGATTATTTTTAACAAAATGTTAAAGATATAATATAAGATAATAATAATTTAGAAGATATATTTCTGATTAAATAAATATAAAAAAAAGAATCGAATTACACTTCATCTTAATATCCAAGTTCAATCTCTTAGTAAAATGTAAATAATTAATCAAAATTGTTATAAAGAAATGAAGAATTATTAAAAAAAAGTTACTCTTGTAGTTTTTTAACTTAATAATAATAATAATAATAATAATAATAATAATAATAATAATAATAATAATAAACTTTATAATAATAAAATTCATAATTATAATTACATTAAACTATAGAATAAAACAATGTTTTTTTTTTTAGTTAATTTAAAGGATTTTAAGGAATAAAAATATAATATTAAAATTTATGAAAAAATAAATAAATATAGAAAAATAATAATTTTTGTTTCTTCATTTTTTAACAAAACTTTAATTTTTTTAAGGAGTTCCTTATTTATTTGCATTTTTAGTATCTTTTGATAATAAATTAAATATTTTAATTAAATATAAGTTATAATAAAATAATACATAATAATTAAGTTGATTGTTTTAATGTTTAATTAGATTTATAAATTTATAAATTATCTTTAATAGAAACCTATTTACTTTTTATAGTTTTATCCTTAGTTTTATCGTCTTAAACTCTAATAACTTTACATTCTTATTAAGTGTATTAATTTTATAATTACTACTATTATTATTGTTATTATAATTATTATGAATTTTATAATTATTATTGTTATAATTATTAAGAATTTTATAAATATTATTATTATTATTATTATTATTATTATTATTATTATTATTATGATTATTACTATTATTTATATAATATTATATTTTCATCTTAAGTTACTGGTTTTATTTACAATTATTATTATTCAAATTAATTTTCTTTATTTTGTACTATTTTTTATTATTATTATTTTATACCTACTACAGGTGCAACTTTCCATTTATGATCTTTTGATTCATTTTTTGGTTCTTCAAAAATTATAACTTTTTTAGAATTACTTTAAGGATTTATCATTTTATTTATTTCTTATAGCCTTAATTTTTTTTTAATAAAAAACAATAGATTTTAATTTTTACTCATTCTTGAAAAATTCTATTTGTGAAATTTTATCAATGCTTTTGTCATTATCTTAAACTGGATTTATTAATAAAGAATTAAATTAATTTTATTAATTTTATAGATTTTATTCATTATCGAATGTTTTTTCATGTTAATAAGCAATTTATTCTGTTTTTTAAACCACTTGTTCAGTTTTTTGTACTAATTATTCTGTTTTTTATATTATTTATTCCTACAAAGGGTCCACAGGATTCCCTATAACATTCATTGCCTCAAAATTTAGAGCACAAATGCCTCTCATGAAAGCTTTTTTAAGATTTTCTTACATATTTTCTTTGTTTTCGTTTATTTATTAAAGAGCTTTTTAAGATTCTTAAAACTATTATTTTAAAAGAGAAATTTCTTTTTAAAATTTGAGTGTGATTTCTTCTACTTCAGATAAATGTTTATTTTATTATTAAGTAAGTTTATTTTAGGAAGAATTTTATTAACAATAATAAGAAAAATTGGAAAAAATTCTAATTTTTAAATTTTTATTTGCATATTTTTAGGCTAATTGTTATTTCTTTTAGTTTTTTTTTGTTTAAATAAAAAATAAATATATATAGAGAAAAATTATATATAAATATATATATATATATATACTGCTTTTTTATTTTTTCTATATATATAATAAGCTTTAATCTAGTTAAAAAAAGATTAAAAATGTTTCTAAAAATTTAATTTTTGTTTTGTTTTTTGGGTTATTTAACTCATTTTTTCTATTTTTTTTTATAAATTTTAATTTTCTTATGTTTTTTCATCTAATAAGTTTATTTTTTCAATCAACTTTTTTATTTTATATATATATATATAAATTAAGTTTATTTTAATTTTTTTAATAATATATATACTTCTTTATTTTTATCTTCGTACATTAATAAATATCTCTCTGTTTATTATTTTATTTGTTATTTTTAATCTTCTAAAAGCGATCTTTTCATTCCCATAAATTCTGAAATGGCATCTGCTTTAAAAACACTTAATAAATGTTCCACTTTTATCTTAAAATGCTCTGTATCTTCATCTACTATTTATGGGTTGTGGTTTCTTTAGAAATAAGGAAGTGGATTTTATTACTTCTTTTTTTATTTTTGGGACTACATATCTTCTATTATATGACTTTATACTTGAGAAATAGTAGGATTATTTTTTGTTTTTGTAGATTCTGATTCTTAATTATCAGAATTTGAATTATCAGATGTAATTTTTTCGATTTCTTTACGGTTATTATATTGCTCCATTTCTTAAAAATCATCTAAAAGAGTAGTTTTTTTTGTTTGTTTCATTTTTAATATTTTAGTTTGTATATATTTATTTTAAATTATTTTTTAATTTTTTTATGTTTACAAATATTTTTTTTTTTTTTTTTTAAAAAAAATATATATTTTTTTTTTTTTTTAAATAAATAAAAAAAAATCAATTTTTCTATAAAATTATTTATAAATCTCCAATAAAAACATATATAAATATAAATACACTATATATTTTTTATTTAAAAATAATATCTTATATTAATTAAATTATTAATTTATGTTGTTATATTAACAATATATATAGAGTGTAATTAATTATTTTTTGTTTTTCTAATTATATATCATGATCATTCAAATACTTATTTTATATGAGAAAAATCAATATCCCTATTATTTTATTTTTATCTTCTAAAAGCTTCCCTAACATGTTCTTCAGTTAAATATGTATTTTCATCACTTTCCCCTGAATTTTTTATTTCAATTGCTTTTTTTTGTTTGTTTTTTATAAATAAATTAAAGATTTTAAATTCAAATAAATATAAACCGTCTTCTATTATTTATTAAATATAAACTCTTCCTATAGAACCTATAAAAGATTTTACATATTTATCATAATTTAAGTTATTATCTATATCACTTAGTATATTTTTTATATTATTTCTCCATAAAATTCTTGGAGGGTTCTATTTTTTAATAAAAAAAAATATATTTGTATTAAAAATTAAATTTTTGTTGTTATTTTTAAACCCTAAATCCTTAATATTGTTTTTCATTAAACTATTCCCAATCTTCGCCTTCTCCAATAAAATATTTCCTTTTGTATTTTAAATGTATTTTTAAGTGATTAAATTTTATATGATTTTTTACTTTTTTACTGCTATTTCTCCTTATTTAGTACGATTAATCTTTTCATCTAAATTTCTTTAATCATCTTCTTCTTATTAACCTTTATTTTATTTTTCTTCTTCATTCATTTTTATAATAGTTTTTATATTTATTTATTAAAAATAATAAAAAATATATTTTTAATAAAAATAAATATATTTATTAGTTTGAAAAATATAATTATACATATTAATATATATATATATATATATATATATATATATATATTATATTATATTTACATATATATTTATTTATTCATATATTCCTATATTATATACATATATACATTTATACATATATTTTTTTTTTTTTTTTATATATTCTTTAACAAAAAAAAACTATTTTTTATTAATTATAAAAATAAATTTAAAATGAACCAAAAAACTTAACAAAATTTAAAAGTAGTCCAAAACTATATAATAAATTTAGATAAAATACTAGGCACAGGTTCCTTTGGTTAAGTATATTAAGCCATAGATACAAAAAAAAATAACCAATAAGTTGCTATAAAATAGATAGCATAAGCTTTAATAAATAAAAATTCAGAAAAGCTAATGTAATCATTAAAAAATGAAATAAAATCAATGCAATTAATAAATCATTAAAATGTTGTTTAATTAATTGATGTTTAAAGGTCTTCCAAAAACATATATTTAATAGTAGAATATTGTAATGGGGGTACTCTAGAATAATATATAAATTAAAATGGTGGAAGATTATCAGAAGCAGAATCAATAAATGTAATAAAATAAGTACTTAGTGGTTATTAATGCTTATATTGTTAAAACATTGTACATAGAGATTTAAAACCTGCTAATATTCTTTTACATGATGGAATTATTAAAATTGGAGATTTCGGGCTTTCTAAAGTTGTTAAACATCATATGGAATAAGATCTTATTTAAACTTCAGTTGGATCTCCTCTGTAAGATTATATTTATAGTATATGTTTTTGTAATGTACATTTTTTTTTAGATATATGTGCCCTTAGATACTTAATTAGTAAAAATATAGCAGTAAATGTGATGTTTGGTCTTTAGGAATTATTTTCTTTGAAATGGTTTATGGGAAAACCCCCTGGAAAGCTGCTAATATTTACGATTTGATAATAAAAATTAATAAAGAAAAACTCTTGTACCCTTAAGAGCCTTTGATTAGTGATTAATTAAAAGAAATAATAGGGAAAATGCTAGAATTAGAGGAAAAAAACAGAATAGGTTGGGAACAATTATTTGGATTGAAAATATTTTAAGACATAGAAGAAGAAAATAAAGAAGAAAAATAAGAATAAGACGAGGATTTTTTAAAAAAGACATAAAATGAGAACAAAAAATATTTTAATGGAAAAAAATAAGTATTAAATTCCATATATGAATGTGAAAACAGGAAAAATAAAATAAAAGATAATAATTATATAATAAAAGAAGAGGAATAATAAAAATAATAACAAGAAATGAACTTTAATAATAATGAGTATTTAGATGATAAAACAAAAGAAAAATACTCGTAAATTTTCAGTTAATATAATAATATTTAAGAAACTAAAAAAATAATAAGAAAAATCGGTTCTTGGATTCTACATAGAAGAAATAAAGCAGTTTTTTTAAATAATATTACTGTTAAACTTTATGATTTTTATGATAATAAAGTATTTATGTTTGATAAAATTATTTTTTATAAAATTATGTTTGTACTTTCAAAATATTAGACTATGATTATTTATAAAATCAATTAAAGGCTAAAAACTAAATTATTGGAGAAAAATAATAAATTTAGTTAGGATGAATGGAAGGTATTTGTAAAGAGTAATGAAAGGGGAGTTCTTTAAAATTTCGTTTAGAAAGATTTAGATGTTATAAAACTTTTCTTTGAGGAATTGTTGAAAAAATGCTCTTAATTCTTTTAGTGTTAAATTAAAGAATGCTTTGATGAAAAAGATAAAGACAATTTGTAGAATATTTTGAGTATATGTAATAAATAAATTGAAGATAAAAATAAATTTGATGTTATTTATGACTTAAATGTTAATGAATTTTTTAGTTATTTAAAAAGCTTTATTGAATAAAATGGACTTTTTAATAATTTGGAAGTACTTTAGTTCTTAATGCATGTTAAAAATGCTGTCAAAATAAAAGAATTTTTTAAATATAAAACAGAACCGAAATTCGATTTTATGAAATATTACGAAACAGTTTAAAAAATGGATTGTAATAAAATTATTAAAAATTTATTTAAATCTTGAGAATAAATATATATAAATATTTAGTTTTCTTCATTTTTATTATAAAGCATTATATTCTTCCTTAATTACTTACTTGTAAATGAAAATTTAATTTGATTTTCATATTTACTTATTAAAGAAAATATTTTACCCATTTTTTTCTAATTTAAATTCTAACTCTATTATATAATATTATAAGCCTTTATTTTTTCAAATTAGATTTTTATATAATAAAAAGTGCATCCTCAAACTTATTTTTTAAAATTATTATAAATAAATATAATTATTATGTTATATATATAGATATATATATATATATATATATATATATATATATATATTTATTTTTTAAAAAATTTATATGTTAATATTTATATTTATATATTATATATATATATATATAATTATTTATTATATATATATATATATATATATATATATTTATACTAATTCTAATTTCCAGTATAATTTGAAAATTTCAGAAAATTTTTTTAGCCGAAAAAGAATATCGAGTGCTAATTATAAAGGTTGAAAATTAAATTTTTCATTTTCTTATAAAGAAATATTATCTAAAATAAGATTTGCAAGAAAAAATGAATCGTTTATAATATTTAACTATATAAAACTTTCTATTAAATTCCATTATTTTTCTTGTATTAATAATTCTGAAACAAACTTTTAAATTTCTATATGTAAAGTAAGTTCATTTTCTATAAATATATAAAAAAAAAAAAATATAAATAAAAGTTTTTGTGTATTTTACTTATTTATACAAAATAAAATATTTATAAAAATCATTAAAATTTCAAAACTTTAAGTCTTTTTTTCTATAAAAATATTAATAATTAGATTCTCGTAAATTTCTATTGGAAAAATAACACAATATCCTAATTTTATTTTCTTATTAGGATCTAATACATTAAAAGTTTGACTTATTAATTAATTATTATTCATATTTAAGTCTATAATTAGTTTCTTTTCATTAAGAAATTACTTATAAATAAAAAAAATGTTTTAGAACATTTCTTCGAGTTCTACTATTTATATATTTTCATCTATGCATTTTTTAATATGCTAAATGGAAATTTTTTATGGTTTTTTTCTTCTTAAAAGAAATAATAGACATTCAATCTTTTTTATATTATTTATTTAAAAAAAATACATATTTTTACTTTGTTTTCAATAAAAAAATTAATTTTTGAAAAATCGATTTTAAATTAATAAGTTTCTAAGTTTTCAAAATCTACCAAAAACTTATCTTTAAATAAAGCTACTTATTTTTTTTCTAAAATATTTTCAATTAAATTATTTTATTAATCATAAAAATTGACCATTTAAGGAGGTCCTATAGGACTTAAAGTATTTTTTCTCATAATATCGTATACAATAGTTAATTATTAAGCATTAATAATAAGTAAGTCTTCTAAAATGCTAAAATTTATAACAGAATCTGAAGGAAATGTTATTTTACTATTTAATTTTAGTACTTTATTAGGCTAAATTAAATAAATATATATTTTTCCCTCATTATTATTAATAAAAAACATATAAGTATTTTAATAAATATTAAGTAATTAAATATCTGTATTTAATTCTTCTTAAAGAAATTTGCTTTTCGAAAAATCCGAAGATAGTAAATCTGCATTAATATTATTTCCTAAATTTTCTTAAGTATTCATTATTTATAAAATATCTTAAAATTATTAAATGCTTCTTTTTTCTTTGTTTTTATCTTCCAAATAAAACTCCACTCCTCTATGTTAGTATAATTCTTCGGAATTATTAGCAAAAAAAAAAGTCTAAATTTTTCCTTTTTCATGTATGTTTCCAGTTAATAATACTTATGTTTATGGCTCGTACCAATAACAAGAAATTTATACTTCAATAGTTCTTTAGAGCTTTAAAAATGAATTATTTTGTTCTAAATTGTAAAGCTTTATACAATTGTTTTCTATTATTAAAAAGTCAGGATGATTTTTTTAATTTTAATAAATAGGGCTTATTAACCAATCGAAAAATTAATATTATATTTATTTTTAAACTATCGTTTGTTGACTTTTTGGATATTATATGATCTTTTTAAATATTATTTTTTTTTATATATTTTTTTTACTATAAGAGAGTTTTCTGGTTAATATGCAAGAATATTTGTTTATGTATTAAATGATAAAGCTTTTATTTAGTCTCTTTTTTTTAATAATAAAAAATAATAATATAAAAATATGTAAAATATATATATAAATTTATTTATATAAATATTATATATATATTTATTATTTTGTTATAAGAATATAATATACATTATTATACTTGTAATCTATATTTATTTAATCGACTTTATTTTTTTCTAATGAAATGCAATTTAATTAGTTATCTTTTTTAAATATTAATTGTTGTTACTTTTTGTTATAGAAAACTTAGTTAAAAGTTTTTAATTTTTAAATTTATTCATAATTTAATAAATTATTTTTTTAGCAATATATTATTGAATTGGAATTTAAATATTGCATTTTTATTTATATATTTTATTTTATTTGATATATTGTTTATTGTATTTCTAAAATATATACTTTTTTTAAAAAAATATATTATTATTATTAATACTATTAAAATTAAATAAAAAAATAAAAAATGAAAAATATTTTAATTAATTTTTTATTTTATTTTTATTTTTAATTATTAAATTAAAATAAAATATCTAAATATAATTTATTTGCTTTATTTATTAATATTTTTTTTTATAAATTTATATTTTATATATATAAAATTATATTAAAAAAAATTTAATAATATGAAACTTGATATTTAATTCTAGAAATATAAATCTATAAATATAAATTATTAAAAATACAAAATAATAAAAATACAAAAATTACATAAATATAAAGAATTTTCTCGCAAGTCAATAAAAAATTTATATTCTCAAATAAAAAATTTATTAAATACCCTATAAAACTAAAAAATTAAAATAAAACAAAAACTAAAATAAAAATAATAATAATAATAAATGTAAAGAAGTATTAAATTAACATAAAAAGCATTTTAATTAGCATCCAAAAAACCTTCTTAATTAAGATCTTTCAATTGTTTATAAAAATTCCCTTTTTATAGATTTTCTTCCGAAGTTAACATTGAAGAACCAATAAAATAAAACATTGAACAAATGTAATTCAAAACTGAAACAAAAAAGCTTCTTGATATAGTTGCAAAATCTTTATATACAGATAAAGATGTATTTTTAAGAGAACTATTATCAAATGCATCAGATGCTATTGAAAAATAAAGATTCAGAAGCACTTAAAGTAAAAACATAAATATTATAGTAAAAAAATAACACGAAATAAATAAAAATAATAGAAACAAGTGGTGATGAATAAACAGATTCTTATTAAATAACTATAACTACAGATTCTAACAAAAGATAATTAATAATATAAGATACAGGTGTTGGATTTACTAGATAATAATTAATAGATGATTTAGGAACAATTGCAAGATCAGGATCATAATAATTTGTTAAAGAAATAGGAAAAAATAATAATACAGCTGAAAATATTATAGGTTAATTTGGTGTAGGATTTTATTCATCATTTATAGTTGGAGACAATGTTTAAGTAAAATATATATATATATAAAATATATATATATATATATATATATATATATATATATATATATATATATATATATATATATATATATATAATTCTTTTGATTTATTATATAGGTAATTTCTAAAAGTGATTAGGATTCATAAGCGCATATGTGGCAAAGTGATGGAAGTGGAGAATTCGAAATAAGTGCAATTGATAATTTTGATTTAAAAAGAGGGACTAAAATCATAATTCATTTAAAACCTGATTGCGCTTAGTTTGCTAATCCTGAAGAAATAAAGAAAATCGCTTAAAGATATTCCAATTTTATTAATTACCCTATATAAATAAATGGAGAAAGATTCAATTTAGTTGAAGCTATATGGGCTAAAAGTAAAATTAATGTAACAGATTTGGAATATAGTAAATTCTGGGAATTCATAAGTAATACTAAGAGTAATTATTTTTCTAAATTACACTATGAAATTGATGTTCCTCTTTCTATTAAATGCTTATTATACATTCCATCTACTCATGTTGAAAAAATGGGTATTTCACATGAAGAAATGAATGTTTCTTTATATTGTAAGAAAGTTTTGATTAAATAAAACTGCAAAGAACTCATGCCGTCATTTTTGAGATTTGTAAAAGGTGTAGTTGATTGTGAAGATATCCCTTTAAATATTTCAAGAGAAAACTATCAGGATTCTGGATTAATAGCAAAATTAAGATAAGTAGTAACTAAAAGAGTTCTTAAACATTTAGACGAAGAGGCTAATAAAAACCCAGAAGCATATAATAAATGGTATAATGATTTCTAAAATTTCATTAAGGAAGGATTAGCTATGGATATGGAATATTAAGAGTAACTTTTTAAATTATGTAGATTTAATGTTGATTATACTAATGATTATATCACTTTAGATGATTATGTGTCGAAAATGAAGCCTGGTTAGGATAAAATCTATTACGCTTTATTGGCTAATAGAGAAGCTGCTGATTAATCGCCTTTTATCGAACCTTTTAAAGGAACAGGAGTCCCTATTATTTATACTTTTATTCATATTGATGAAATGATCTTTTAAACAACAGGAAATTATAAAAATCATAAATTTGTAAATGTAGAAGGAGATTTTGAAGAAATTTCTAAGGATATTTAAAAATTTAAATAAGAAATAGAATAAAAAGATGAAAGTTAATAATAATAATAAATAATACCTGAGGAAGAAGTGACAGCTTTTTGTTTGTGGATTAAGAATGAACTCTCGCCTATGGTATCAAAAGTTTAAGTTTCATAAAGATTAAGTAGTTCTCCTGCTGTTATTTAATCTTAAATGACTTCTGGTATGAGATAAGTTATGCTTATGATGGATAGAACATAAGTAAAAATATTATTATTATTATTATTATTATTATTATTATTATTATTATTATTATTATTATTGTTTTTATCATTATTTATTTTTATTAGAATTTAGAAATGGCTAAAAATCTTACATTTGAAATTAATCCTAAACATCCTCTTATTGTTAAGATTAATGAAGTTAGAAAATTCGAAATGGATGTAGCCAGTACTATTCTTAGATAACTTTGTGATAATTGCTTGATTTCTTCCGGTATTCCTACTGATAATAAGAAATATAATGATAGAATTAATGTTTTAATGAGTAAAGTTTTAGAAAATGCTTTAAATTAAAATAATAATTAATAAAATTGAAATTTATGATTTTTTTAATTATTAAATTTAAATATTAATATTTTTTGTTATTATTTTTTTTATTATATTTTTGCTTTATTTTTTTATTTTATAAATTCTAAATAATAGTTTAAATATTTTATATTTTTTTTTTAGCCTACACTAATTTTAATCTTCTTATTATTTATTTATTTTTACAAAAAAAAAATAATTAATAAACATATTTTATTTAAATAAATAAAAATATTTCTATATAAATAAAAATATTATTTTAAAGAGAATTTAAATATAAAAAAATATGATAACGAGCAAATTTAAAAACTCAATATTTTTTTTAAATAATAAAATAGATTTTTTATTCAGCTGCTAAAAAATAAAAAGGGACTATTAGGACTTATTATTTACTTTAAAAGAAAACGAATCAATAATAAAAAAATCATATAATTATGGAGGCAAAAACTACTTATTAAGTTTAATAAATTGCTATACAACAATAGGAATGAGGAATAGTATATTAGTAAACGAGGCAATAAGTTAAGTTGATTAAAATGAGTATTATAAATAAATATAAGATAAGAATTAACTATTATAATTTACGAATGATTTAATAAGTTTAATTGAAAAAAAAGGATAGGATATGCCTTTATATATAAAGTTTTTGGAAAATATTAGCTAAAAATGGTTTTTGTTATAAAAAGATGAATTAAATAAAATAAATATAAATGGAATAAAAAATAACGAAAAAATAAATGAAAATTATAATTTTTTTAAAAATTTAAGTTTGGAATAATAAAAAGCAGTTTTTTTATAAAATTTTGGTATAAAATAAGAAAACGAGAATTATTTAATAAAAGAGATTGATTTAATATAAGAAAAAGTAATTTTAAAAAATAAAAAAAGTTAATAAGAAATAATTGTTTAAGCTTTAGATAAAAATAAAGATTATAATTTTAAAGAATATTTTGAGAATTTAAAGGAAAAAGAAATCAATTTATTAATTACTTAAGATACCTTTTAATAATAATATAGAAAAAAAGGAAAATATTATTAGAATTAATAATTGTAATTATTATTACTTTTTTTTAAAAAAAAATATATAAATTAATATAGGTATAGTTTTTTAAATTAATATGATTTATATGGAATTAATTTACGTTAATTTTTTGTAAATTTATTTATGGATGAAAATTACAAATATGACTTTGAAAAAAGGAGTTTTATTTCAAATAAATATAAAGTTTAAGAAAATTTAAATTCTGTATATATAAATTTTATACTTCATAATGAAAATACCACAGTTCCTCCGAAAATAATTCTCGGAGAAATTCCCGAATTGGAATATTTAAATAGTATAATATGCCAAAAATCATTAGAGTTTTTAAAATAAATGCCTTTTTTATCCACTTTTACAACCCTTGGTTAAAAAATAAAGTATTCTCATAATATTTTATTTAATAATTTGGGATGTCCTCAATGTTAGAATGTTCACTAAGGTAATTTTCCAGAACCTTATTTAGAAATTTTAATGGGGGATATAGGAATTGAATATAAGTAAGAGTTTTTTGCAAAAAAAGTATTTGAAAGTGTAAAAGATAATCGAAATTATTAAAATGTGGCTGTTTTTATGGAAAATAAAGAGAATTTTTTAGCAAAATTTTTATAAGTATTCATGAAATATAATGAAGAAAATTAAGAAGATTTCGAAGAAAATATATACACTGATTATTTTTTGTTAAAATATAAGGAAAATAAAGAAGAATTTATAGAAAAAATTGCTATTTGTGAAGTTTTATTTTAAACAATAAAAAGTGATTTAATAAAATAAATTTTTTCGAAATAAAAAAAAATGGTATTTGATGTAAAAATATATTAAGAAATAACCAATTTTTATACTAATTAAGTTCTATATGAAAATATTAAACATAATAAAGATATTCTTATTAGTAATATTGATAAAAAAACTCCATGTGAAGCGGATTAAATTATTTTTGGGGAAAATTATGATAAGGAAGAAAATGAAATTTTAATAAAATAAATAAAAAATAGACGAAGAAAAACAAAATTAGATTTATTATCATGAAATGGCTTATAATTAAGAATAAAAAAAGTTATTATAAAATATTGAAGATTTGCTAAATGAAAAATGCTTAATAAATACTTATAAAATAGAAAAAAAAAAAAAGATATTTAATAATATAAAATAAAATAAAAAAATAAAAAACAAATGAAATATGAAAAAAAAAATTAAATATATAAATTAAAATTAAATATTTATTATATTATTTTTATTTAAGATATTTATTAATTTTTAAAATAATATATTATAAATATAAAATTTATATATAAATAATATAATAATAAATTTTAAAATATAATTTAAAAATAAAAATAGATAATAAAAAAAATAAAAATTATAATATATATATATAAATATTTATATATATATAATATATATTTTTTTTTATATAATATATTTTATTATTTTTCTATAATAAAAACTTTTAAATATTATAATATATATATATATAGTTTCATCTATCTTTTTATAATTAATTAAAGAATTTATTTTTTTTCTTTTCAAACTACTTTTTTATTTAGTTGTATTATTTATTTAAATTATTATTTATAATATTATAATTATTTTTTTATTTTCCTTCAATTAAATCTTTTGTTTATAAAATTAATTATTAGAATTTAGCTCCTATTAAAATTGGAATTTAAGCAAAGAAATTTAAATCTTTTAGAATATTTTTAAAAATTAAATCTTAATTTTTATTATTATTATTTTCGTAATTTTAATTATATTCATTTTTATTATTTTAATTATCTATATCAGTAACTTTTTTTTTTTCTTGACTTCTTTATTTTATTTTATTTTATCTTTATATTTTTTTTGCTTTTTTAGATTTCTTTTTACATTACTTTATTTCGTCAATTATATAATCATTACTGACTTCTTCAATTTTTATTGATTTACCATCACTAAATTAAGATATGATTATTTATTCCTAATTTATTTGGACAATTTATTATGATTTACTTGAATAGCTTGATATTTTTTGATTTATTTATTCAGAATTTAAAATTGATAGATGTTAATTCATTGGAGAATAATAGTTATTTTAGGATAAATTATTATATTTAATAGGGGAATTAAAGTAATCGTTATTAAATTTATTATTTTGGTTATTGTTTATTGAATTTTAGTTGATTTAGTTTAAAATTTAGTTCACATTTTATAAATGAGAGTAATTATTTTATTACATTTTTAAAATTTATTAAATTTTTTATTATATTTATTAATACTGAATTAAATTAAAAAATATTTTTATATATATATAATATATTTTTATATATAAATTAGCTTGCTAAAAAAAAAATTAATTTAAATTTTTTAAAAAATACATTTTATTATCAGTTAAATTAAATTAAAAAATAATTTATATATTTTATAATATTTATTATTGATTATAATTCACATTAATTTTTATGTTTTAAATTAATTAATTAAAAATAAATTATAATTATAAAATATATTTACGGAAAATATATAAATTTTTTATTAATATTGTATTCTTAAAAATAAAAATAAAAATAAAATTTAAAACAAACTATATATAAATCTTATGGAAAGTAAAAATTATAATTTATTATAAGATAATTTAAGTTTATATTATATTAATTTGAAATAATGATATTTTAAGTTTTAAATAAATTAGTGCTTTAAATATATTAAAAAGACTATAAAATTAATAAAAATTAAAATAAAATTGATTTTTTAAAGTCGGTTAAAAAAAATAGCGAGATAAAATAAAACTATTATATGTACAGGATTTTTTTTATTTAAAATATATATATATAAAATATATTTAAAAAAATTTTATATAAATATATTTATATATGTAATATATAAATATATATATTCTTTAATATTTGAATAAAAATATATTTTTATTTTTTGTTATTTAGTTTTTTTTTCATATTTAATTATTTAAAACTTAATAATTTCTTATTCTAAAAAATTCACTTTTATTATATTATTCGTTCTTTAATTATTGAAGTATTTCAAATGTATTGTTTTCATATTTTTTAAGCTAATAACTATTATTTAAAGTTGAATAATTTTATCTTTAATCGCTTAAATATTATGAAGAAGATTATGTTTACAATAATTAAAAAGAGTCTGTTTATAGAATTGTAGTTTTTGAATTTTTCAAAGGAGATTAATTAAGAATTATATTGTCAATAGATTTTCCATTATTTTTAATTAAAAATTATGTTTTTTACTTTTTAAAGGCGATTCACTATGAATTATATTGTCAATAGAATACCCATTATTTTTAATTTAAAATGTAGTATTAATATTTTTGATTGGTGATTAATTAAGACTTATATTATCAATAGATTTACAAATATCTTTAATTAGAAATTTATTTTAGTATTTTTTTAAGGCGATTAATTAAGAATTATATTATCAATAAATTTACTATTATTTTTTATTAATTTTTGTACTTTTTAAGATAAATAATTTTGATTATTTAAATTATTTTATTTTGGGGTTTCTCTTATATTTTTGATATATTCTTTATTTTTTTATAAAAGTTAAAATTTTATTTTATTTTCTAAAATATTTTTGTTTTTTTGTCAAACCAAAATGCACATTGAGTATTTTCTTCTAGTTTTTATGATTATTATTCTTTTTTATCCTTTTCTTATTTTATTAATTAAAATTCTTATAACTTAGGGATTTATATACATTTTATTATTTTTTAAAAGCTTTACTCTTTTTGGATCTTTTGTTGATGCCATTTGTATTTATTTATTGCTAAATTATTTAAGACTTCTCCCAGGCAAGGTATTTCATTACATAATTGGTTTAAAGATGAAATATTTATGAAATAGACTTCTACTTAAGTTAAGCATTAGGCAGAAAAGTCATAAGTTTTTTAATTTTAAATGAAACATTCCAAACCAACAAATTCTTTAGATGAAACTATTCCAAATTTTGTAAAGTTTATTTTGTTTTTAATCCATTAAAAATAATTAATTTTCATTTTTTTCTTTTTATTCGATTTATTCTAATTTTTTAGAAAACTATATTTCGCCTTTTTTTATTAAATAAATTTTTTCTACATTTTATTTTTCTTAAAAAAGATAATGACCAATTTTAAATAATGTCTTTTTTAAAATGATTTTTTAATTTTTTAAAGGTTTTGTTTTATTTTCGATTCTTTTTAATCCTCATCTTTTATTCCAAAACTTTATAAAAAGAAATTCTGTTTTTCTTCAAATATATTCTATTTTTTTATTATTATATATGTAATATGTTTAATAAAATATTTACTTGTTATAATTATTAGATTATTTAATAATAATCCCCACTTTTTAAATACAAAAGAATACTGTCTTCTATTGCATAAGCATAGTCTTAAAGCATCTTTTGACAAAAAAGCTCTTTAAGGCATATTTTTTTTCCACTAGAAATATATTTTTTTGCGCAATTTATTATTTATCTTTATTTATTATTTTAAAAAGATTCTATTATATTTTTATTCTTTTCTGATATTTGATTTTTATCATATATACCTACTTTTCCTTTTATTAACAAATATAGTTTATCAGGTTTTTTTTCAGGTGTATATATATTTTCTCCAGCATAAAAACATTATATGTTTACTTTGTCTATTATTTATTCTTTTATAGTTTTACTTTATAATTTTAATTTTTGTATGTACTGTATATTTTCTAAAGTTGCTTTTATTGATTTTATTTCTTCAACTGTACGTTCTGAAGGATTTTTTTAAAATGAAGTAAGGAAATCTATTAATTAATCATTTTATGGCAACTTTTAAATAATATTTTTTAATTTTTCTTGCTAAACTTAAACTTAATACTATTCAGTTTTGCTTTAATTAAAATTAATTATATTTTTAGAAATATTTTAATTATGTATCATATTTTTTTTTTTGTCTTTAAATAAAAGAAATTATATTTTATTTTATTTCAATATATATATATATATACAAATATATATTTAATAATTTCAAACTTCTATTTTAATTATATTTTGATTTAAATAAAATATGGCCAAAAATAAAAAAGCAATTTATATTATTATATATTTATTTAATAAAATCAACTTTATAAAAATAAAATTGTTTATAAATAGCTTTATATATATATTAATCAGTCCGATATAATTATAAAATTTATTACTAAATGCTTTATATTTTTATACATATATAAAAATTATTATTATTTATTGTTTATACTTTCATTTAATAAATATTAAATAATTAATTTTTCTATTTCATAAAATTAAAAAAATAAGTATAAAAATTGTTTAAAAAAAAAATATTTTAAAAATAACTAAAATATAAATTTATATTAATAAATAATACTAAATATATTTTTTATAATTTTTTTTTTTTTTTTAAATATTTTTTTTTTTTTTTTTAAAGACATAGATTTAATATAAAACACATATTATATTTATTAATTTTAAGAATTTAAAAATTAGAAATATAATTCAATTTAATATATCGCATTCAATTTATTTTAAATCAATATAAATAATATAGTTTATATATCTTAATATTTAATATACTAAGTTTAACTAATAACATTAATTTATATATTAATTAGAAACTTGTAATATCTAAAATTTATTTTCTTAATTTTTAAAATATTATATATTTTATATTTTAATATAATGTATTTATTATAAGTTAAATTATTATCACACATTAATTAAATAAAAAAAATAAATAAATTTAGCTCCTAAAAAAAGTCCATAATTCAATTTTTTTTTATTTGTCGATTTTTTTTTTAAGTATAAGAAATTATATAAAAAAATTATGTTTATAAAAGTAAAAAATAAAACAAAAATATTTAAAAAATTAAATTTTATTATATTATATTTTATTATTTTAATGAAATAATTTTATTTATATTTAATATATATTAAAACGTCAATAATTTTTTATTTATTCCAATTTTAGTTGATTATCTATTTATTAATTCAATGTGTTTTTCACAAAAACTTTAAAATCAATATTTTAAATAAAAATATCGAAATTAATTTTAATTTTTATAAAAATGATTGAATTAATTCATTCATTTATTTAAAAGTATCACATAAATATAAAAAAGTGGGCAATGTAATATTTCATTATTTTATTCTACTAATTTATAATATGTTGAATAATTAATATTATTAAATAATTTCTTTAATTGTATACCCATAATCAATTATTTAACTTGATTATCTTAATAAATATAATATAATTAAACATTGATGAAAAGAGTAAAAAATATAAGAAACGATTTAATAATATAAAATACTTTATTTTTATTTATATAATTAAATATATATATGTTATTGAATAGATGAAACAATTTATGATTAATCAAGGAAAATAAAAACTTTATTATAATTATTTTGTAATATATGATAAAAAAAAGAAAAATTATATATTAATTTTGAAATCTTTTAATTAAAATAACTTATGTTTAATGTTCTTTTTTATTTTAATATATATAAAATCAAGACTTATAATTATAAAATCATTTTATAATTTATTTCAATCATCAGATTCAGTTTTTAATATTATTGGAACTTCATTTTAATTATCTTATTATTAATTTTAATTATCTTATTATTAACTATTCTATTATTCTTAATTATCTTCTTATTATAAATCATCTACTTTTTATTGATTATTTTCTTATTATTAATTTATTTCTTATTATTTGTTATTTTTATCATCTGTATTATTGTTAATATCATCTTATTTAATATTTATTTGTTCTTATTCATTATCATTTTGCTTATTATTATCATTTTCTTTTTAATTATCATCTTTATTATTATTTTCCTAATCAATTTATTCATTATGTTCAATTTAAATTTCTTCGTTTTCTTCTTTTTCATCATCATCTTCAGACTTTTAATTTTTAATTTTTTTATTTTCTTGTATTTTATTAAATATAGTTTCTTCATTTTCTTCATAATTTTGTATTATTTTTTAAACTTCATTTTATTCTTCTTCTTCTTCTTCTTCTTCTTCTTCTTCTTCTTCTTCTTCTTAATTATCATCATTATAAATTTCTCTATTTGAAGTTTATTTTGTTGATTGAATTTCTTCACTCTTTTAACTATCAAAATATTTAGTAGTCCTTTAAGATTTTATTCTTTCTCTTTCCATTATTAAACTTTCTAGAATAAAAAAAAAATTAATAATAAAATATTTCTCTTTTTTATTTAAAAAAAAAAAAAAACTTTCTTCTTTATTTAAAATTTCTTGTATTTAAGGCAAAATTAACAATTATTGGAGACTTTATACATAATCTAAAAAATATTTTTTTGATATAAAAAATAAAAAAATTAAATATACTTGAATAGTTCTTATTATCAAATGCTGAGTAATATTCAATTGCTTTTTAGTATAATTCCATAAGAATATTAACTGTATTTAAGCTTGGTGTATCTTATATTTATAATTCACAATTTTAAATGTCTTCTTCTATTTAGTAAATATCTACGGATTAATAAAACTTCAAAGTTACAAGTTCTTCTGGAATTTCAAAATTTGATTATTAATTTTTTATCTCAGCACCATTAATTTACATTAATTATATTATTGTTTCTATGAACTTTTAGCTTTCTTAAAAAATAAATACTTATGAAATTTTATCATTCTATATAAATTTTAAAAAATAATTTAATATATATATACATATATATATATATATATATATATATATATATATATATATATATATATATTATAATTTTACATCTGTTGTTTTCCAATTTAATGTGAGGACGGAATCTTCTTCGTTTTGTCTTTATATATTATTCAACATATTAAGTTAAAAAAAGCTTGCAAGTTTAATTAAATTCTATTCTTTATCAATTGTTTCGAAATTTAAAAAGTAAGATTAAGAAAGTATTAAATATCTGAAAAAATATTTATTTTATTTTTAAATAAAAAATAAAAACATTTAAAAAATAAAAATACCTTTCTACAAATTATTCATTTACTTATTATTCAGTTTCAAATATACTTATTTCATTTAATTGAATAAACTAATCTAGAGAATAAATTGAATTACTTTGAAATTAACCTAAGTTTTGCAAATAATATTTGTTATCTAAATTTTCTGTAATTTCTTACTTTATTATACATTAAAAAATAAATAAACAAAAAATTACCAAAAAGTTAGGGAATTATTACACTATTTCATGTAATAGTAATTAAGGGCTCCATTAACCATTAACAATATTTTCTATTAAATCTCTTCCATCTGAAATAGACGGTTAAGAAAACTAATATTTACTTATAATCTATTTTTTATATATATATTTTACAATTGAATTGCATAATATTTTTGGAAATGAAAAAGGAAATTTTTAATCTAAAATAATTTCAAATTAAATAGGTTAGAATTAAAGGTAATAAGATAATGGATTTTCACTTAATAGCTTATCTTAAATTTCTATCTAATTAAATATGAAATTATATGTAGTTTTTTTATTTGCATTAAAATAAGTACAATTTATATATATTTTTTTTATTACTATTATACTCAAACCATATTATTATTGACTTAATTCTATTAAATATAGTTCTTAATCTAATTCATATAATCCGTTAATTTCTATTAATTAGAATAATAAAAAATATTTATTATTATTTTACCTTTTATTAGCCTCTTTAATTAAGTATCATTTTTATAGATTGGCTCTAAAAATTATTCTATTTCTTGTTAATTCATATATATATATTTTAATATTAACTTATATTTTTTTATTTTATTGATTTATATATTTGATTAAATATATATTTTTTTTAAAAAAATATATATTTTCCTTTTATTTACATAAATAAATTTATTTTTTTCATTTAATATGAAAAAACAAGTTTTAATCTTAAAAATAGCTAATTTAATATGAAATTTTTAAAAAAATTAAGAAATTCTATAATTTATACTATTTAGAATAATTTTTTTAAAAAAAATATTTTAATGTTATGTTTTTTAAAGAAAATATAAAAATCTTTTTAAATTCGCAAATTTATTTTAAGAATTTATATATAATTTATTTTTTATAAATAAATATATATATATATATCTTATAATTAAAATAAAAATACATAATTTTAAAGGATATATAAATAATTAAATATAATTTTAAACAATAAAATATTTAACTTTTTATTTATAAAATAATTTTGATGTTCTAATATTTATCATTTTTTAACAAAAATAAAGTATAAAAATAATTCAAGTCTTTAAAATATTTTTATATATTATTATATAAAATTACAAAGTTTTATAATCAATTTAGTGTATGGTTTATATTTTTTGATTTATTTATGTAAAAAACCAAAATAAAATAAAGAAAAAAATAAAAAACAAAAATATACAAATAAACAATAATAATAAAGAAATTTAATATTTATATAAAAAATGAAATCAAATAGATCAGTTGATTATTATCTTCACTCCTCTTTACAAAAGCAAAGAATTTTACTAAATAACTAAAAAGATATAAAAGATTTAGAAAAGAATTTACTTGGTAATTCATAAAAACTTGAAAAATTTTTGATATAGAATGACGTAGTTTTTTCACCTTTAAAAAATAACAACTATTGTGCAGTAATAAAAATACAAGCAAAAAATTTAAAAGATTCAAATTCTTTCATAAATAATTCTTTAAATGGATAAGAACTATAATAAAATGAATAAAAGAAATAATAAGGAAATGAAAGAATATTATAATATCTATAAAAAAAACTTAATTAAAAAAATTAAGAATTATAAGATGCTGAGAAATTGAAAAAACTCCATGATAGTGAAGATGCACACAAAAATATTATTAAATGCTTATAGGATTTCAATTTGCATAAAAAGCTGTGTAATTCTTACGAAAGAATGCCTAAGTTTTAAAAAAATAAAATTTTTTAGTATTTAGGAAGTATTTAGAATAAAATAAAAGATTTAAATGAAAAAAATTAAAAGTAGCTGAAAAAAGATTTTGATTTAGAAGTGCTTTATTTTGTACTTAAAAAAATGATTTTGGAAAAGGAAAAAGATGAAATTATTGAACATTTTATAGATTAAGAAATTGAAAATTAATTTAATGAATTAAAAAATAATGGCTAGTAAATTGAATAATATCAAACAATTGATGATTTAAATTCTTTTGATAATAATCTTTTTTATCATTATAATAATAATAATTTTAGTAAAGAAAATTTAGATAAAAATTAGTATTAATAAAATAATTAAAGCGATTAAAATAAAATAAATTAATAAAAAAAAGAAGAAAATGAAATTTAAAAAAATTAAAAAAAATAAACACTTGTTTTATAAGAAAAAAAAGAAGAAATAAATTTAAAAAAATAATGCTAAAATAATGTTAATTCACAAAAAAATTTATAGAATTAAAGCTAATAAGCTATTGATAAAAAAAATACAAATGAAGAAAATAATTAATAAAAATATGATGAGAATGATAAAAAAAAATTAAATGAAAATTATTAAATAAAATAAGATGAAAAAATAAAATTAAAAAAATAAGAAAATATAAAAGAAGAAGAAAATAAAAAAAAATCATTAAGTATAATAAAAAATAACATTTACAATAGAAAAAGATATAATAGTAATATGTAAACTGAAAAATAATTAGAAGATAAAAATAGATAGAAAAATGTAACTTAACACATAACAACACCTTAAGAATAATAAGATAATAGTAATGTTGATTAAATATAGGAAGAATAAATAAAAAGGAATAAAAAAGTAAATAAAAATAATAACAATAATGATAATAACAATAATAACGAAAATGATAATAACAAAAATAATAATAATGATAATAACGAAAATAATAATAATGATAATGATAATGATAATAATAATGATAATAATAATAATAAAAATAATAATAATAATAATAATAATAATAATAATAATAATAATAATAATAATAAAATTGAGTATTAAAATTATAATAATGAATAAAAAATCAATAATGAATAATAAAATGATTTAAATTAATATCTTTCAAATAATAATAATATTTAACACATAGGAAATTAAATATAATAAAATTAATTAGATGAATAATAATTAGAATGTCCTAATATTAAAAAATCAATAAATTAAGTAATAGAAAATTAAATAATTTAACCTTAATAAAATTAAATTGAATTAGAAAGTGATAATATTAAAAAAATATTATAAAATGATAAAGAAGATAAAAAATAACTACCATAAAAATTTGAATAAGAACAATAAAATGATAATATCTAAAAATTTATAAAAAACTTAATAGAAAATGAAAAAAATACCTAAGAAAATGAAAATGTTAAAGAAGAAATAAGTTCAATATATAGTTAATTATAAAATAATGTTAACGAAAAGATAATTAGTTATAAAATATTAATACTTAAAAATATAATTAAAAATAATATTGCCTAAATACAACAAAAAAAAATGAAAAAACAGTAGATTTATTATAAATTTAAAAAAAAAAAAATGAATAAGAAAACCCTAAAACAACCTCAAAATCAAATTAATAATAAACATCTTATAATTAAGAAAAAAATATATCAAAACCTAATGAAAAAACTTGTTCTATAACTAATAAAGATAAAGAAGATAAAACTAAGATTTTTGGAAAATTGAAAACTGTTTAAGATTTTAAAAATGAATATGTTAAAATTGTTAATTATAATTTATAAGAATTCAAGAATTCTAGAAGTTCATTATAATTAAAAAAAATGGATAAATAAATATTTTAAAATTCCTTAAAAAGCTTAAACTAAAAGTTTCATTAATTAAGTACTTAAGAATTAATGTATTATTATGATTTTCTTTAAAACATAGCATAAAGGACTTATAATAAAATATTTAAAAAGTTTAAAATATGAAATATGATTTTTTTTTTTATTTAGAATATTATTTTCATATCTAATATTTTTGGGGGGGAAACAAAAAAAAAAATAGTTTTTTATATTATTAAAATTAATATTTAATTAACATTTTTTTTTTTTTCATTAATGATTTAATAAATATAAATATTAAGTTTAAAATTTATACTAAAAAATAATAATATAATATTTAAATTTTCATATTCATTTATTTATTTTAATTTTTATTTTGATATATTTTTAATCAATCTAAATCATTTCGAATAGTTATTTATTTTTATAGAATAATTATTTTTATTCATTCGTAATAAATAGATTTTTAGAGTCCACTAGATAATAAATTTAAATAGTTTTTAGCTTTTTCATTTTTTTTATCCTTTAAAGTAAGTTTTCCTTGTTTTTTAAAAATATATATGTATTATATAATATTAATATTTATTTTTAAATACCTGGCCATTACGCAATCATTTAATAATGCCCAGGCCCTGGTCCAATAACAACAGATTTAGATTTCGTACTTTTCAAGTCTTTAAACCTTATCTAAGTACCTAAATATTTAACAGCTGTTTTTTATTTTCCTTTAACAAGCATCTTTCCAAAAGTATCATAATCTAAGGGAAAGTTAAACTTGTAAGTACCAACATCAGGTAAATTACTTAATTTACCTTTTTTGGTTTATTCTTTATGTAAATTTATAAAATCTTAAGGTTTTTTCATATTTACTTTAAGTTTTGGTAAAATCCCCTATTATTTATAAATATAAATAAATGAAAAAAATAAAATACTCTTGGGTTATAATTTCCTGGGCCTGGAGTTTTTATACTTAAATATTCATTTTCATTTAAAAAACTACCTTTTTAAATTCTATTTTTTATAAAAAAAGTTGAATTAACATATTATATATAATTTAATTTTATATTAATAATATTATAATAATAAACTTTTATATTCATAAAATAATTTTAATAATTTAAATACTATAAATATATTTCTTTAATACTTAAAAAGTTTATTAATTTAGAAAAAAAATTAATATTTTAAATTATAATAGTGTATTAATAATATTTATAAATATATATTGAAAATAAATTAATAAATAATTTATATTATTTAATAATAATAAAATTACTATCTTCTTTCTTTTATTACTTTATCTGTCTCTTTTACTTCAGCTTGAGTTTTGAAAAATATTTTGTATTATCCAGGGCCTGGTTTTATTCTTCTTTTTTCTTCTAAAAAAATATCATCAATAAATGTATTTCTTTTAGTATCTTTAGGCTTTTTCTTACCTTTTTCAATATCTTATTGATTTACCCATTTATAAGAAACTTCATACTTGTTAGGTGCAGGGCTTGTTTTAAATAATTTAATTGTATCATCTAAATAGCAACCCCTTTTTGTTACATATTTGTTGTTTTTTACATATTTCCCTTTTTTATTAATTTTTTCGTATTCTCTATCTTAAACCTATTTTAAGTGATCAAAATATCTTTTTGGAACTTCATAACCATCTATTCCCCATGTAGTATTTTATCTAGTTGTTATATTATACATTTCAACTAAGGGCATATAATTTCCTATTTTTTATTTAAATTGCTAATAACGATTATAAACAAACTATTTTACTTTGAATAGCATTTAATTAAGGTAATGATTAGCCTACAGACATTTTTTTTTTTTAGATATTTTATCTTTATGAATTTTTTTTTTATTTTAAGTTATTTTTTTAATAATATATATAAATAATTGTTATATAAATACTATATTATTTAATTATAAAAAAAAATAAAAATGATATTTTAATTAAACAATTTATTAAAAAAATAATATTTTTTTTCTTTTAAATAACTTTATATTAAATTTAAATAGATAAATTTATATTTAATATTCACTTGTAATTTTAGGGTTATTTAATTTTCTTAATACCAAGAGTCTGGTTAATCAATTATTTAAGTAATAAATTATCACTTAGTTTTATTTTAACGACATTTTAAGTTTATTATTAATTTTATTATTATTATTCTTTATCTTCAAATTATAGACACAAATGATTATGTCTACCAATCAAAATATCATCTATACTTAAGTCTTAATAATTTTAATTGTTATTATTTTATTTATTTTTCATATTAGGAATGTAATAATCTTTAATAATATTAATTTCAAATCCATTTTTATAAATAAAAGAAGGATATTTTAAGTTTTAATAAAATTATACAAATAGACATATTGGTGATTTTATATTGCAATTTTCCTTAAAAATTTATAAACATTATTTATTTTAATAATTATTTTATTATTCTTATTCAATTTTTTCTTTATATATTTCTTAAGCGATTTAGAAAGCTTTTTTTGATATATAAATCTAATTAAAAGTTTAAATAAATAATTCCAAATTATCAAAGCTTTTAAAAGAATCCAAAGTTTTTAAAACATCGCTTGCACTTTCTCCATTTAAGATTTCTTTTTCGAGTAATTTAAGAATTGTTAAAGTACATATATATAATATTTTCTATCCTGATAGAGTTAAACGCATCCATACAAACAAAGCTAACTTTTTTTTATTTATTTTAGTTTTAGTTTTAATTTTTATAAAATAAAATTTACATTTTTAGTTAAATTACATGAAAATAGAGTATTTTACCATAAAAGTCCAAACATAATATATTCGACATTAAGTTCTTTTAGTTTATTGTAAATATTCGGTAAATAATAGTATATATATTTTTCCATCATATTTTTTTAATAAATAATGCTATATGAATTATTATAAGTATCATTAGGTAATATATATTCTATAATTTAAACATATATCCAAAAGGCCTTTTTTCTACTTTTGTTATATTTATTAGAATAAATGCTACTACGAAATTCAAGCCTTAACAATAATGCAAAAAAGGGTTTCTTATAGAATATGCATATAATATATTTTATATTGAAATTAGTAGAGTATCTTTTTATTTTAAATCATATGTAAAAGCTGAAAGTGTACGGTTTACATCTTTTTCAATATTTTGAAAATATTAAATAGGGTATTAATTTATATTGGATATTATTGTTTAATAATAATTCTTATTTTATCTTTGTATATAAATAGAACCTGAAGTTATATAAAAAAACTTTAAAAAATAAAATATTTATAAAATTCATATATCTATTATTAGATTTTTTTATATTTTTTTATTATATAATTAAATATATTTGAAAACTTCTTTGTTTGGTAGAAATTATTCTGAACTTTTTACTTTCTATTTAAGATATTTTATAATTTCAGTATTCATGCATTTTTATAATTAACCTGCTTTTATAAGCTTTTTTTTTTTTTTAAAAAAAAAAATATTCTAAAATTAGAGTATTTATTAAATATTTTATATACTTCTTCAATTGAATATTTTGAGTATATAGACTCCTCATTTATTTAATTGCATTAAGTAAAACTTTATTCATTTGACATTTTTTGTATATTAATTGTGAAAGGATATACTTGATTAGCATGTATTTTTTTTGGGGACAGATTTGTACCAGAAGACTTTTTATGCTTTTAAATTTAATTTAAAGGACTTAATTAACTTTAACTTTGAATTGAATTTTTTTAATCTTAAAATAATTATTTAGATTAACATTTATTTAATGATATTTTTATTATAAATTTAGGATTTGATATTAATAAATACAAGTTATTATTTATATATTCTTTAAGTAAAGTTAAATTCTTTATTTTTTTATGTTTTTATTGTTAGATTTCTTACTAACAAATAGTCTAATTTATTTTAGTTTATATATTTGAATTAGTATTGCTATATTCTAGAGTATTCATAATTTTAAGTATAATAAAAATTAAAATAAATATAATTAAAGTAGTTATTGATTTATTATTTTAATATTTTTTTAAAAAAATTAATATATTTATTTTTATAATATAGAATTTAATAAAATATTGATTTTTATATTAATTGAAATAGTAAATTCTTAGAAATGTAGTTATAATATATTATTAATTATTATTTATTAAAAAATAATCTCAAATTATAAATATATTATATATAAAATAATTTTATATATATTAAATAATAAAATAGTATTTTAGTCATAAAAAAAATCACTAATATTAAATAAATATAGAATATAAATGTTTAAAATAAAAATAATAATTAGAATAATATATTATTATAATATTTTATTTACATATAATCCAATATAAGTTTATTTTTAAATATTATATTGAAAAAATCATTTATTATTGATTATTTTTAATAATAATATATTTTATTAATTAAAATCACATTTTTTCATTTTTATAAATTTTAAATTTAATGTAATTTATATTAATGATTATTAATCTAATAATATTTATTGTTTATAAAATTTCCTATGTTTTCGGATATCCAATAACATATATAGTATAATTTTTTGATTATTTATATATTGGAGCTATAATAACCTTAATGATTATATTTTTCTGCTAAAATATTAATTTATAAATTAATGGCTTATTTTAAATTTAAAAAGACATCTCTTTAAATTAGTTAAAAACCATAAGCTATATTTAAGCGATTCTTATATTCAGTTCTATTAGATATTCAGAAAATTTTTTTAGTCTTAATCTAAGATTTATAAGATAATTAGTATTATACACTCCTTAAAATTATTGTTAATATATTTTTTTTATATAAATTATTAATTTTTTGGTCCAAAAATATCATTTTTTAAATAATTTATATTATTATTTAATTATTTTCATTTTAATTTTTTTAATGAACATATTATATTTTTTTTTTTTACTTTTTTATTAATTTAATAATATAATAATTTTAATAGAAAATATGTATTTTAAATTTTCAAGAAAATATTTATTTCATTAATTTAATATGAACATTATTATATTGTAATTATAATTTTTTAATTTATTTTTTATTTTCAAACTTTTTTAGTATATTATTTAACTTAATTTTATTGTTTTTTTCCATTGTTTCATATTTTTATGTACTATTATATATTTCACAATTCGAATTAAATTAAATGCTTATACTTTTCATATAATTTAATATATCTTTTTTTTATTTATTGTTATTTTTTAATTCATATTATATTTAAAAAACATCTCTGAATTAATTTTTTAACATTTCTATTTCTTTGGGTTAAGATTTTTATCTATAATGTAAAAAGTTTTTTATTTAATTTTCAATTATTTTATCTTTTTTTATTTCCACTTTCAGATTTTATTTCAATAAAGGAGTCCCTATTTCATTATTTAGTTGATTTATTTATTTCTACGAAGGACTTTATTTTTAAATTAAGCTATCTTTTCGAATAAGGAAATTGGGCATAAGTTATTAAGATTAATTAATGGTTATTTTTTATTCTAAAAAGAAATTATTTGGTTAAGTTAAATTTAAGTTTTCTGATTATAAAAGATTATTATTTTCTTATTTTAATTTTTTTATTGAAAAATGACTTTCTTCTGATTTTACTGGAGATACATTATTGTTAATTAAAGATTGGGATGATGATCGAATTTTTTAAAGGTTTAATTTTTTTTATATTTTATTTTGTTTTTAGATGGATTTCTCACATTTGTTTGTTTAAAATTCTTATATTCGATTTTCTTACCATTTTCGCCTTTCTTTGCATTTTTTTTCTAATATTTAATATCCTTGGTATTTTTTTAGTAATTATAGTAAAATCTTTTTTTTATTTATGGTAAAAAATATATGAAATTTTAATACTTCTTTTTTTATAGAAAAAATTGTGGCTGTTAATGAAGTGCATATTATTCGTTGTTTTCTTTTTGGAAAATTAAAAATAATTTCATATTCTCCGAAATATGAACTTTAACATTATTAATAGACTATTATTCTTTTCATTTCTTCATTTTAGTTAGAACTTTTTAAACAATAAAAATTGAAAATATCTTCGAAATTTTTTATATATTTATCTCTTTAATATATTTATATAAATTCTTCAATTTAAACTTCGCCCTCTTTTATAAAATATAAAAAATTAGAATCATTTATTTCAGAATATATAATCTAATTTTTTTAAAAGGTAAGAACTTAAGTTTCATGCAACAAAATCATTAATTTAGATTAAGGAATTCCTTTCATAAAATCAAAATATTTATAAAAATCTATTTTTTCTTTTAATACAACATTATTATAATAGACCATAATTTTTTGGAAATTTTCTTTGGTTAAAGATATTAAATGAGTATCAGTTTTACAAATCATAGTACCTGTTCTTTTAAATATATATATATATATATATATATATATATATATATATATATATATATATTTTATATATTATATATATATACATATAATATATTATAACATGTTTACCTTTTTGATTTTGTTAATAAAGCTATTTCTCCAAAAGAATCTCCAGGTTTAAATAGTTTAATTAATTTCATATTTGGATAATTTTTTTCTATTAATTTTTAAAATTCTTATTCTTCCGTTAGTAATTTTCCATCTACAGAAAATTTTATTTTTTATTTTGTAATTTTTGGTTTTAATTATGGTGTTAAACTGACATTTTAGACTATTTATTTACTTTCCATATTCTATATCAGTGATAATTATAGTTTTTTTGTTTTTTCTTCTTATTTATTAGTGTTTTCTTTATTAATTGAACCAAATAAATAATTTGGGACAATATTTAATTTTA